CTAAACCCGAAACCCAAAACCCCTAAACCCGAAACCCAAAACCCCTAAACCCTAAACCCAAAACCCCTAAACCCTAAACCCAAAACCCCTAAACCCTAAACCCAAAACCCCTAAACCCTAAACCCAAAGCCGAGGCATGCAGGCCTTCCAGAGCTACCGCTTCAAGCGCAGCTTGACGCGACGAAGTCTTGGCTTCCCAGAGACTCCAATACCCCTTAATTAAGGAATATTAGGGTTTAGGGTTTAGGGTTTAGGGTTTAGGGTTTAGGGTTTAGGGTTTAGGGTTTAAGGAATATACCTTAAATTATAATGGGATCCCTAATAAGATTTAAGGTATATTCCTTAATTAAGGGGTATTGGAGTCTCTGGCTTAGGGCTTTGTCGGGTTGAGGGTATAGGCTTCTCGTCAAAGCCTACACCCAGGTTTTGGGTTTAAGGTATCCGCTGCTATAGAGGCCTAAGTAGTTGGAAACGGAACGGGGAGGTAAGGTACGTTGTAGTGGGGTGTTGTACGAGCTACGAGGAGGTCACTGTCCTAATTATCACTGGGCCAACTTTCTGTGAAGATGCTACGGTGTTTGAAAGGTTGCTTTAAAAGTTGTTATGCAAGGATACTGACAGCTTATTGCAAGGTCGCTATCAGGTCTTTTTTTAGCGGCTGTAGCTTTTTTTTGCTTGGGGTTTAGGGGCTTGCTTCGGGTGTAGACTTCGGGGTTGAGGGGTTGAAGGCCAAAGCACTGCTGCTAAAAAGACAAGCCCTAAAGCCGTGAAGCCTCAGAGCCCGAACTCTTCCCTAAACCCTAAACCCTAAACCCTAAAACCCCTAAACCCTAAAACCCCTAAACCTTAAACCCTAAAACCCCTAAACCCTAAACCCCGAACCCTAAACCCTAAACCGTCAGGTCATCGCAAGACCTCCGGAAAGGTCGCAGCCGTATCCGCTGCGCATCTCCAGGGCCTGGAGGCGCCTTCTCTTGCTGTGAGACTTTGGTATTTACAAGGTGACTATGGGGTTTAGGCTGTCTTACGGGACTTCTATAAGGGATTACTTTTTGGGAGTATTATATTAAATAAGGGTTACAAAGAGGGATTACAACGAGGGTTACTATCAGGGTTACCTAAGCCCTAAAGCCTTGAACTGTATCTTCAACCCTGAATCCTACTTCGGCGAGTATGCCACAACAGGCCACGGGGCCAAAACCCGGAACCCGATCCCGAAACTCCCGACCCGACTCCCTGAATCCCCGGGTTTAGGGTTTAGGGTTTAGGGGTTTAGGGTTTAGGGTGTAGGGGTTTAGGGTATAGGATTTAGGGGTTTACGGCTTAGGATCTAGGGGTTTACGGTTTAGGGTTTCGGGTTTAGGGTTTAGGGTTTGAATCCCAAAGCTTTCAGAATGCCGTCAGAAAATGAGCATGATGATGAGCCGTGTAATGTTAGGTCTTTACTTGCCTTCAAAATTCTTATTTAGTCAACGTCTGTCGCCGGATTGTAAGAAGTTGTTTTTTGAATCTTGTTGTGTGTCTATAGGGCTCCTGAAGAACATTGATAAGTGCATCTACTGGGTGGGAGATAATTGAATGCAGGCCCTGCTTCACATACTCGTAATCCCTTTAATCTGAGCACCGAACGCCACTGTAAGCCACTATAACCTCTGTAACCCTAGACCCTAAACTCTAAACCCCCCAAACCCCCTTAACCCCCTTTAACCCCCTTAACCCCTTTAACCCCCTTACCCCCCTTAAACCCTAAACCCTAAACCCTAAACCCTAAACCCTAAACCCTAAACCCTTAAACCCTAAACCCTAAGCTCCCAACCCGAAGGCCCCTTCAACAGTACAAGAAACCTTGCGCCATCCCAAACTCCAAACGTAGACCGCCGATTCATCAACCTCCTTCTCTCAGGTCCGTAGACCAAGGGGTCTAGGGTTTAGGGATAGACCATAGGGCTTCCATGAGTTTTCTTGCAACAGTGCATCGCTTCCGCAGAGCTCAGGTTTCGGAAGATGTCCACAATCCCAGCTCGGCATCTTTTCCGTGCCCAAAGCCCTAAACCCTAAACCCTGCAACAATCTACCTAAAACCCTAAACCCTAAACCCTAAACCCTAAAACCCTAAAGCCCTAAACCCAAACCCCAAACCTAAACCCTAAGCCCGAAATCCAGGAAAAACCATCCAAGCCCCGAAGCCCTAAGATCCTAAAGCCCTAAACCCGAAGCCCTGAAGCCCTCGAATTGAAGACTTGAGCCTGCAGGCCGAAGACCATGATGTAGGTGCCTAAATCACTAGAACAGGGCTTTTGGAGTTCTTTATTATGGTTTATAGTATAATATACCCCAAGCCCTATTCTAATTATTAAGGCCCCTACATTAGATCGGCATTTAGGGTTTAAGGCTTCGGGTTTGGTAAGGCTTGGGCTTCACGGGTTTGGGGTTTAGGGGTTTGGGTGTAGGATTTCGGGTTCAGGGTTTAGGGTCGAGGGTCTAGGGAATCAGAGACCCGACAGGAGCGCGGCCTAGAATGCCTTACTTGGAGGGTCGGGGGACTTAGGACACGGTTATTTTATAGACTTGTAAGTACTATAACCCCGATTAGTGTCCTTTTAGGGTACTTACAAGTCTACTTACCTACTTACTAAGTCTCCCGACCCTCCAAGTATGAGTCACAGAACCCTCCTCAGCCTGTCCCTCTAACCCTAAACCCTAAATCCTAAACCCTGAAACCCTAAAACCATAAAACCCTAAAGCCCTAAATCCAAAAACCCCAAACCCTTAAATCCTAAACCCTACACCCTATACCCTCAGCCCTAAACCGGACCCTGGAAGTGGAGGCAAACCTGGCTCACTACGACCCTTGGCCGCCTTCCTCTGCGTCCTACAAAACTTGGCGTTCTTCTGGTTGACTCTTAGGACTTTAACCTTTTGGGTTTCTATATGAACTATAATAAGTAGGCTAAAAGTTTAACTTGTAGGAGGGGTTCAGAAGTCAGCCAAAGTTTTCAGGCTTTAGGTCTGAACTGGCTGGGACTTTTTATGGGTCGACTAGGGTTCTACTTCGTTCCATCATGTCTCGTGTGGTTTCATGTCTCGGGGTTTCAAAACCTATTTTAAAGCCAGGGCTTTGGAGTTTGAGCCCTAAACCCTAAGCCCTGATGTATAATATAGGGGCGTTATAATTAGGACTTATACTATTTTGAGGCCTTCTCATTATAACTATAGTATAATATGCCCCAAGCCCTATTATAATTATTAATTCCCCTAAACCCTAAACCCTTATAGCAGCCCTTAAAGTACAATTTGAGGAACCCCTTTAAAGGAGCCCATAGGTTTGCAAAAACCAATAGTTCCTTCAAGCGGTAGGTCTTTTCGGTTTCAGGTTGGGTTTCGGGACGGTTTAGGGTTTAGGGTTTAGGGTTTAGGGTTTAATCAAAGCAGCCTCGGGCCCAGCGTTGCAACCCTCGGGGGCCGGCCACGCCCCTATGGTTCAGGGTTTAGGGTTTAGGGGTGTGGGGGTTTAGGGTTTAGGAAGGGTTTGGGGTAGAGGGTTGAAGGCTTCGAGTTGTTATCAGGTCGATCAGCTCGGTTCTGAGCCCGAAGTTACGGTAGGGGCCGGAATTGAGTATCGGGTTGTGGGGTAGACGGTAGAAAAGAGCGTCGCAGGGATACTACCATCACTAGTTCTTCCATGGATTCCTGCAAGGGTTCCATAATGAGTGTTTTGTGGGTCTTGAAGTCTTTGCTTCGACGGTGTAGACTTTGCGGTTTTAGGGTGGAGGCGGTCGGGTTATAGGGACCCTAAACCCTAAACCCTAAACCCTAAACCCTAAACCCTAAACCTTAACCGTAGGAATCTTGGCTTTAGGGCCCTCAGGCCCTCAGGCTCTAAGGTAGTTTAGGGTTTAGGGTTTAGGGT